GCAGTGACATGTGTCTCTTTATATTAAAGTGTCTACAAACACTGCTTTATCCCTTTATATTAGTAACATTAGTTTATTGAAATATGTACATATGTCAGTTGTCCTCTTTAGTCCCGTCTTTGGCTGCTACAGTACGGCTGTTTAAGTCTTCACATTGTGAGTATGTGTGTGAGAATGTGGACAGATTTTTGTGATGGTTTTGCAATCATGCAAGGTCATGAAACTGTGCAGGCCCCCCGGCCCAATTTAACATGCTGGTTTGATGACATCACCAGAAGGCCTCCAGTTTATTAGTAGTTTCCTCCTCCTGAGACTCTCTGGCTTCTTTTATATGGCCTGCTGGTTAAACATGAGGATCTGTGGCCACATAGTGACAACCTTTGGTTTCTCAGCACTCCAGGCATGTTTGTTCAGAAGCCCCGACCGAGAGCAGGGTTGATTTCTGCAACGCTGCGGTGAACCGTCGCCAAGCAGAAAACCAGACATGGGTGAATAACATGCACAGCAGAGTCTTTGTAGGTAACAGAAAAGAAGTCTAAAACTGGTCTTTTCTCCATTGTCCTAGTGGCTCTGCAGCGAGGCTCAGTCGTAATGCTTTTACTGCCGCGACAGCTGAAAACACTCCAAGCCCTGGGTGGAAGAGTTACTCTGCATATTCAGAACACTCGAGAAGAAATGAATAGACATGACTGAGCGCGGCGCAGACTGTGGCTCTGCCAAGGTTTGACCAGGGGCCCTCTGTGTGTTTGTAGACTCACAGCTCCCAGTAAATGTTTTGTACCTGACATACAATGTAAACCTTCATATCAAAGCAATATTTATCAAAACTAGCCTATTTTAGGGACGGTGAATCACCTAACAGATATCCACACCAGATTGAAAAAACTTTACAGGCGTACTGTACAGATATCTGTCTTTTCAACATCAGATCATTCGAGTAGTTTCGTTTTTAGGGTTTTTTGGTAATGTGGGGTATGTTTTTGGGGTTGTAATGTTTCTGAATAATACATGAACTCTTTCTATTCTATATGTACAGTATTAATGATATATAATGTAAATGTATTATGTTTATTGTCCCTGTTCTCAAGCTTATAGATTATTGGGGTGTCCCATATCACATGTCTCCTTATGATTGATATATATTTTTTAACTGTTTAAAAAACGATGTGATTCCTTTAATCACATTTTGATATTGTTTTCAATTAGCCTGTATGGAGCTACAGCATAATTGCCTTTGGTTTGGTGTGCAACCCTAAGATTCAAATGCAACGTTTTTGTGGGCGCCACGGGGCATAGAGGAGGAAAGGTAAGGAAACATCCAGGTAAACTTTGATCTGAGCATTCAGGGTCAGAAGCTGAGGGCGTGGTGGATTCAAGTGGCCTGGAAACATCTGTAACGCACAGATGAAGATTGAAAAAAACGTCCATGTCTTGTTTTAACACCACGGAGCAAAACAAAACACACAATTACTTTCACAGCTGAGCTCAAATGACACATTCTTGGATTTGTCCGGTGTCCGGCGTGATTGATCGTCGCTGTCACGGAAACTGTTTAAATTCCTGAAATAGCCCGCCGCTTACATGTTCCTGAAGTTTCCCAGGCTGCATGCTCCCAAGATGGAGTCTGTTCAGAGCAATCTACAGCTCCTTCCTCCAACTTTCTGCTCCATTGTCTCATTGAATCTCCATACAGTAGTAGGAGGATTTATGAAAATTATGGAGATTTAGACCCCATTGTATTGTCATTATTGCATAAATCGTCGATCTCTGCCTCCAAATGCAATACAGTTTGCATACAATTTCAGACTTTGCATTTTAAGATACATTTCATGATGAATTTGGGTTGTGTGCTTTGGCAGGGGAAAATATTGATCAGAATCATAAGAAAAAGGCCTCAACACACGTCTAACTTCATCAACATTTTGTTATTATCTCACAAACCCAGAAGGTTGTGAATACGCAGGAGAGGACCTCTACATCTCAGCTGAACCATTAAGATTCAGCAGAGCCTGAAATTCCTTATTATATGTATTTTATAATAGCTGCCAATAGAAAATGGCTGAAAGATATTCACATAGAGGAGAGAAGTTGGCCTTGTTAGTGTGATAAAAACCTTAATTTGACGCAGGGTAAGAGCGGCCGTACATCTGAGAGACAAATTGTGTCAGTGGAGTTTGTGTTCTGCACACATCTGCTGCTGGTATGTGATTTGAGCTGAAGCCTTATAATTAAAAGGGGTCTTTATGACATTGCCAAGCTCGGGGGATAACAAAGACACCACAATCGAGTAAGACTCCCTTTGTTTTCTCTGCACACTCGTTATACAAAATCTTTCAACCTTGAAACATTGACGAATCATCACAGAGCGCTGAATGCTTGAAAACAAAGTTTGCATTAGTGTGGTTGGAAAAAAGGCCTAATTATCCTTCCGATTTAGAGTCAATAATCTCATTAAAACCATTTGAAATCTTCATAATAACAAACCTTTAATCCTTGAGTACAAGTTGTAGATTTGCAGCTTGTTTCTCTGATTGCTTAGGAAATAAAGAGCAACACCAAATAGTCTTTTATATCTGTATTCTTGTGCAAAAAAAATAAAACATCAATCAATTTGGCTTTTACAAAATGCATTTTTTTTTTTTTAAATATCAGCTTTGAGATGATAAAAGACAAACACAAGCCAAAATGAATGACAGGAACATAACCAAAATAGCTGTCAGAGTATTTCACAGTGTAAAGAAATCTATCATATACACAGTGCCTGCTTGTATTTACACGAGTATGAACATACAAAATATACACAATCTGTGTTTCCAAAACACAGGAGATTAATAGCGTGTCTTACAGTGTGACAAATCACCATTTTAAAGAGAAAAGATTAATTTCATACTAAAATAAATACACTTCTTTAAAATTAGCAGTGAAACCTACTCTTCATGATGAATAGCATGACGATTGATTGTCTCTCTGTTCCTTTCTTGTACCTCAACAGTCATTAAAACATTGTATTGCAACAGGTCCAGATGTCTTGGGGATTTGCTTAAGTGACGCTACATTTTAAGACTCTGTGTTTAAATTCTCCTTTACAGCTACAGAAGTTAAGAGCTTCATTAATTGTATAACCTAATTACACTAATGTCATGTGTCTATTTATCTGGTTAAATAGACTTTTATTCTGTCTCGATAGCAGAGGTGGGAAGTAACTAAGACATAATTTAATCGCGTGATTAAGTAACATTTTGAGGTACTTTACTTGAATATTACCATGTTTTGCTACTTAGTTCTTCTACTCCACTACATTTCAGAGGTAAATCATTTACTTTGACTCCACTACATTTATTTAGTACCTTTAGTTAATTTGCAGATTTGGATTAATGATGTGAAATATAGTCAACCCTTAAATAAGACTTAATAAGCTACCCTGCAGTATACAAAGTCATTCAAACTAGCTGCACTTTTACCAGCTTTGATAACACTTGAATGCATCATTAAGTATAATCAAAACATATCATATATATTATTCTGAAATGGACCAATCTGCATAATGAATACTTTTACTTTGGGCACTTTAAGTATTTTGATGCTGATACTTTTGTACTTTTACTTGAGTAACATTTTCAATGGAGGACTTTTCCTTGTAACAGAGTATTCCTACACTCTGGTACTAAAAGTACCAGAGTGTAGGAATACTCTGTTACAAGGAAAAGATCTGAGTACTTCTCCCACCTCTGTTTAATAACAATAACTTTAAGCCAATTATTACAAGGTGCCTTTACTTACATTCTGTAACTTCAGAGCCTTACTCCGTGTGACTAAATGTGCAAATGTTGTTTCAGCTTCACATTACAGGTCCATGGTAAAATACATTTGAATGGAAAAAAAGAAGAGACAGAGCCAGAAATGGACCCTATTACAAATGAGTTTATGGTGACTTCATAACTGAACTTGCGCATTCAGAGATAGATTGGAACGGACTACCGAATAGAGTGATTTTTAAAATGGTTAATGATTTCCTAATATGGTGGTTATATAACATACAAAAACCTAACATCTGATGAAGGTAGTGAAGTCTTGAAATGAATCAAATGTAAGCAGCTTTCTGAGAGCATGGGAGACGTGAGGTGGCTAATCTCGGTCAACAGACTTGCGGTCAGAGCTGTGGTCTCATGGAGCTGCTATGTCAAAACTAAAACATGTCCGATACAGTTTGTTACGCAACATTTTGCAATTATAAATATATATATTTTTTAAATACATTTGAACTCTACATCATTGTAACCTTCTAATATCTCACACATCTTGTTATTCCAGTTGCCACTGAGCATGACGAAATCCATCACAAAATCAACAAACATTAAACAGATAATAACCCATAAAAGCATCCATCTAGCATAGAACCAAACATGTGATTTCAGAAAACTAATCTATGTGCTGCGATAGATTTCTTTGTGATTTTGTGGGTATTTGTCTACAAATCCCATGAAATTACAAAAAATCAATAATGGAGTCTCACTGTCTCTGCCAGGCCTGATTCAGCTCCTTCCTTTGGGCTTTAGAGCTCCATTGTTGTCCCCAAAATGATTAAAATCACATCTATCAGCAGCACAGGTGCACTCAGTGATATGTTACTGTGTCACTATGAGCATGGGCACTGCAGTTCATTTTGTGTCAATCATACGTATAATGTCCTGCGGCTGTACATTCTCACTAGAGCACCAACAGTGAGATTAGTTCAGGGAAAATGCACTTTTTTACATCTGTATGAGTAGCATTAGCACGATATTACACTGCCCATCCATTCAAAAAATGACTTGGCTTTAAAAACACATTTCTGTAAGTTTGAAAGATTGAAGTCTCATTGAGAATGAATGGATGCTGTAAGAGCCAGTAAGGTTAGGGGAGTTGTTAAGTTTGACAGACGGTTGGTTTTGTCTTCTTAAGAGGCTTGCGATCAATAACAGAAATAATCACTAGCCATATCCATAAAACATTGTCTTTAACAAATATTTTACTCCTTGGACCTTTTTTCCCCCATCTGAATAAGTAGACGGAAACTAGGATGTTTTTTTTCCCTTGATGAATTTAAATGTCGGCAATTATTTATTCAGTGTAGAATCTCAATGATCTACTCAATAACTGTTATCAATAAATGCCAGAGACACTGCAGCTATCCAAGTGCTATACGTTGGTGAATACTGATCAACTCAGTGTGGTCCTTCGTTTATGGCACAGTTAAGACAAAGCAACAATACATTGAGAATATGAATGTAAAAATATTGAGGACAAAGAGTACATAATTCATGTTTGCAGAATTGTGAACATGCCTTTAAGAAGTGGATTTGTTGACTGTTCATACAGTATGGATGTGATCTTCATTTCATCTTTAGTGAACCTTTCCTTTGCCCCGGGTGCTCTTTAATACAAAATGCTACAAAGTTCATGAATAAATATGCACACATGGGAATATAACTTTTTTAAAAACAAAAAAGGAGATTGATTAAAGGCATCGTGAGCGCGACAAAGGATGATTGTAAAGTAAAACAACAAGTGAGTAAAATAGGACACACTGCAGAGAAGTCAGAATAACTCATGGCATACTCAAACGCAGTGAAACAACTCTTGTGTTTGTTCGACCTCAAAATAAAGTTTTTTTTATTCATAGACTTTTTTGTGCATTAAAACGTATTTTTGCTTCACCCTGTGATGTTCAGCATCGGCACAAAAACAGCAACTGCCAAAAACAACGAAGCAGTTTGGAGTGCAGCATCACAGGACACACACTTAGCACGCACGTAGGAATTGGCAAGAATAAAATATGAATAAAAAACTAAAATAAACGCGAAACATGGTGAACATACACTATGTACACAATTCCAGAGCTTTAAGCACGGAGGGTATTTTCAAATTTGACCTCCATCATGGCACATACGATCAGGTTTGTGAAGTTTGTGTGTGTGTGTGTGTGTGTGTGTGTGTGTGTGTGTGTGTGTGTGTGTGTGTGTGTGTGTGTGTGTGTGTGTGTGTGTGTGTCTTTAGCTTAAGAGTACCACCATCTTTGCTCAGCTGGCCATGGCACACCCCTTCGTAGCTGTGACCAACTTTCAGTACCCTTTGGTCTCGGTGAGGTTAGGAAGGATACTACTTTACCTTAAAAATCTTCATGACACCATCAAAAATACTGTTCAGCTCTACCTCTACTGTCAACAACTCTCACGTTCGGCGCCATCGTCACAAACTGAAATCTTCCTCTCCTTCTTCACAGTCACAGTTATTTCTGTCTCGCACACCAGCACAAGTTTGGGTCACAGTTTTAGCAGCTTTAGGAAGTGACACATGTCAAAAAAGCAGCTGTCATGCCACAAGTTCTTGACATCAAAAGTTCTCAGAAAGCAGCCGCAACAGCAATGTAGAGTAAAATGAAGTGTCAGCCCTGTAGCTCCCCCATCTCCATCCCAGTGAGCTCGGATCAAAGTCCTGGGCTGAACAAACCAGCATCAGCCTGTGAGGTTTTAATCACTGAGAAATGGCACATGGGGTTTTCCTTTCTTTCTGTACATCTCTGTTGCTCGGTTCTTCGGTTGTTTCCACTACTTCGCTCTCTTTCCTCCTGCGTGGCTCAAGCGTACGTCTCTCCTGATTTGAGCGCCACCAGCTCAGAGTCCTCGGTGCAGCGCCCGTTCAAGTTTTCGCTGTTGGAGTCGTGGTGGTACATGAAGGCGGGCACCTCGGTGATGGAGGTGGCCGTGTAGGAGGTGGAGCGCATGGAGCAGTGGTCCTTCCTCCTCTGACCCCACTGCGTTTTATACTGCATCCACTGCCTCTTCAGAGCCGCCTGCACCTGAAGAACACACACACACACACACACACACACACACACACACACACACACACACACACACACACACACACACACACACACACACACACACACACACACACACACACACACACACACACACACACACACACACACACACACACACACACACACACACACACACACACACACACACACACACACACACACACACACACACACACACACACACACACACACACACACACACACACACACACACACACACACACACACACACACACACACACACACTTTTGAGTGTTTTTAGATGTCAAAGTTACTAATCAGAAACATTTCTCTAGAGTTGTATTCTCCTGTTTTTACTTCTCTGATCTCCTTTGACCACAAAATGATTCCAGCAGATGAATGAACATGCCGATCAGAAGGCGGTATCGAAGCAGGGCCCATGTAAACATCATCTTGTGACAACGTTAATCCGTCGACAGTGATCTTAACTGATGCGGGGATAATTGCTGCAGCATATGTGGATCACTGATTTCAATCACGTTAACAGATGCCAGTTAGGAGATGTAAATACGCTGAAGTCACATAACCTGGAACGAGGCCAATTGTGCACTCGGCCAGATCATCATGTTATTGAAAAGGAAAAAAGATGCAATCAATAAAAAGATTTAATCATGAAATTAAGGAAAAACGACTAAAAACTGTTAGTCAAATGGTAAAATATTTTTTATTTGACTGTTGCCAAACAATTAAATTATAATGAATATGCATTTAGCATTTATTAAGGATAATAATGAAAGTGTTACAGTTTATTTTCTCCCCTACAGCTGTCAAAGCCATTGAAAGTAAAAGAGACAAATAATTGCATTTTTATCGGCAACATTAAAATGAACCAACAAAATGTGAAATATTTGCCTTTGCAAAAATAAGGAAATATCTTATAAACAGGACACTTCTACTTCTCTACTTCTTAATCCCGTGTAAGACAGTTACCCTTTCAGAAGATGAGTAAACTTCAGAGAGATAAGAACAAACTTAAACTCTTCACCCTGCAGATCCTAAATGCCTGAGAGGACTCGATGTTCCAGTTTTTACACTCCCTCCCTTGGTTCGCCTACCTTTGCCAATAAAGATGAACAAAAGAAAAGCAAACTCCTCTTGGCTACCTGCTGAGAATTCAGTAACTAAAGAAATGCCAAAGATTACATTATTCTAATTTATTACACGTGGCCTCCTTTCTCAAATCAATCTGACACACCTACGTCTATTAGCAGAAACCTTTCATAGTTTTCAGAGAGAAATGCAATAACCAGCATCTTTGTAGTGGTGACATTTTCATAACCTGACGCTGGGTTGAAATGACTTTTTATGGTAATATGCACCACTAAAGCATATTTAAAAACTAAATAGAGAAAGGCCATGAGTCATTTTCAATCTCCTGTTCCTTTAATAAAGATTGGCCTGCGTCAAACATTTGAACAAAATTATCACAAAGTACAAAAAACCTAGAACAGGGGAATATTCCTCTGTCCTAGGTTTGGATAGCAAAAACATAGTGGTAGATTTCTGGATAATAGGTGTGTGTGTGTGTGTGTGTGTGTGTGTGTATGTGTGTGTGTGTGTGTGTATGTGTGTGTGTGTGTGTGTGTGTGTGTGTGTGTGTGTGTGTGTGTGTGTGTGTGTGTGTGTGTGTGTGTGTGTGTGTGTGTGTGTGTGTGTGTGTGTGTGTGTGCGTGCGTGCGTGCGTGCGTGCGTGTGTCTCAATTAGGACTACTAACTACTTTTTTCATCAGGGAGCTCAAGCAGGTTAATTAGGGCCTGCAAGATAGCATGTTGTTGTTAGATGGATGTGGGGCTTGTTTTAATAGTTTTTTAATGTGTTGTTTGTTTTGTTTCGTCAATAAAAACTCATTAAATCCCAGATACACAAAATCCTAAGTGATTTTAGACAAAGTAAAGAGGTACATCTTCATATTTGAACAGCTGTAACCACTGTATGTTCGACATTCTTGATCAACAATTAATTTACTATAAAGTTTAGTTTTGTACATTTTTTGTTGAACAACCAATCAATTCATCCCACTGTTCATATTCACTGATAAAGAGCAGTGTTCAAATTCCTAAAGGCACAAATCAGACCGACCATCCTACAGCAGAGTATGTTTGATCATTTTCCTTTGCAACGCCCACATACTACTGTAATTACTGTGGGTATATTAATGATCTAATGATGTCAATTATGAAAGTAATTGTTGTAATGAGACAAAAGAGCAGCCTGGGCTTACAGCTCCATGCAGAGCGGGACAAACAGCATAAAAGCTGTTTGTCTCACTGACCTGGTATCACAATGAGGCCTTTGACGAAACAAGGCAGGTCTGTGCAGTTTGGCCTCTAATTCAAAGAACAGAATTGAATCCGGCCCCAGAAACCCGTGTCCTGATTAAGCAAGCTGAATTGGTCATTATGCGCCTGAAGAATTCAAACCCTTTCAGTCCATTGTGGTGGTTAGTGTTAGCTGACCCCACATCCCCCTGAAAGTCTACAGTAAAGCGCTCCACGCCTTGTTTATACCGCATACTGTACATTTTTCACCAAGGCGCTGCTGCGGTCTGGCTGCTCGAGTACGAGCTAATAAACATGTCCTATATTCCGATCTGAACAATAGATCGCTCATGTTTTTCTTCTCATGCGAAAAATACCTTTAACAACCTCATTGTTATGGATAACGGAGAATTTCTCTTGTTGTTTTAACTACTGTACAAAGAAATAGTGGAAACTGTCTGTGGTATTCAGCAAGTGGAAACCAAGCCAAAGTGTGAACAACTGCAGTTCCTAGAACGGCCACTTGAGGCTGCGTCGACCCCAGTGTTGAAATATCCAATTTTACAGCACAAATAAACATGTTTACAGCATGGTACTGACTTAATAGTAGTAGTAATAGTAATGTAGTAGTAACATGCAAATTAATTAGAAAGAGAACACAATGCTAAAATACTAAAAGCCTACAAAAAAGAGGTGTGTCCCACTTGTGTCTCTGGGTCACATGGCATGGAGCTATTAATACAAATTGCGACTTAAAAAAACTCAAGAAAAAAGAAAAGAAAAATAGAAAAACATAAAAAGGCTATAAGAACAGGTGTGTCCCTATTTGACACCAACGTGGAGACCACTGACAAAATGTGCTTTTCTTTGAGAAGTCCTTGAGAGCTTAGAAGCATCTTTATAAAATGAGCCTTTGGAGACAAAAGGTCTAAAAGAAACACCATTAACCCCAGATCTGAGTTTACTGGAAACCCAGCGAAACGTAGGGATGCTCGCAGTCAGACAGCTGCTGACAGACTTAAAAAGGCTGACAGGAGGACTTGAAAAGAGAGTCAATTTCCAGCTGGGCTTGGAAACCACACAGTCATTTATAAACTGTGTCTTACTCTTCACCTGACATGACCCTTCAGCTTTCACTGGCGCGGCACTAGATTGGTCCCAGAAGAGAAAGGCAACCCAATGCTTTATAACCTGTTGCAATTGGACTAATGACAGATGTAGCATCCATGCACAGCTACAACAACTTCACCATTCAATGCCAAAACCCAGCTTTGAAGTCTGTGTTTGGGTCACTTATCGATATGCTGACATCTGGCCTGGAAAAACAAATGTTTTGCCTGATGGAGTCTGATGTCTCGTACTTAATGTCATAAGCAATAAGCAGGTGTACTGCTCAAAGTAGAACAGATCACCGTCATATGCAGGTTGACATTTATAAAAAAGCAATTGCTAAACCAAAACTACGGTGTTATTTTAGCACACATGAAATATTTTCCAGGATGAAATATTATTAAAGGTTTAACATATTGAGAATCAAAATGTATTCTATGTATTTATGGGAGGCTTAGTTGTTCTCCTGTTTTTGACCTAAGCTAAGCTGAGCTAAAAACACACAGCAAATGTAAACACAATTACACAAATGTCAAACTCTTTTTTTTCACTTTACACATTTTGTAGCAGCAGCTGCAGCAGCACATTGTAGGAAAAACAAACGCAATAAGAGTGCTTACCTCTCCATTGAAGAAGCAGAATATTGTTGCCACCAGTAATCCCTTCAAAGGAAACAAGTACACATCATTAGAAAAGTCCACAGTTAAGCAATGCAGTCCTGCTAAGTGAATACACTGACTGCCAACCTGGGGATTTCATGGCTTGTCTTCCTGTTGTTTAATTAAGTGCCAAACTGGTAGTTAAACAAAGGTAATGGAGTGTCTAACTGGTTCTTTAAACTGTAATTCAGCAGTGATTGAACCACATCGATCACACGCAACAACGAGGCAGAAAACAGGTATTTTATTCGTGGAAACTTTCGAGCGCGCCAAACGTCTAAATCTCACGTCTGACAGGACCCGGAGGTGGGCTGCGTTCAGGAACATTTCTGCTCGCATACTGATGCTGATATGTATCTTTCCTGTATTATTGATTGGATTATTTCCAGATGAGCAAAAAACCTTAATCCACAAGGGCAGTGAAGCAGATTCATATTAGCTTTTCCCTTTTTTTCTTTCTGATTATTGCAGTATTTACCTGGTAGTGCATGAGTATGTGCATGATGTACTCGTAGACCTCCCCAGCGAGGCGGTTCTGCGGCCTCCAGGGGAAAATGACAAACTGTATTCCCAGCAGGGGCACCAGGATCAGGGTGGCTCTCACTGCCTTCATGTACATGTTGGACTCCGCCCGGTGGGTGTCTCTCAACTTGGTCACCAGCACTCTTATAATATTTAGTAAGAAGAAGAGATTCACCTGCAAAGAAGTATCCAAATCATGAAAAACTTAAATATCAGCCATGTGTTTTAATCTTTTATGATTTAAAGGTCCCCTATTATACTGTTTTTCATCAATATATAGATCTCAGTTATATACAAAACATGTCTCTGAAGTGTTTGGCTCAAAATACCAAACAGGTCATTGTAGCATCCCATAATCCCCTCTGTTTCAGCCCTGTTTCAAAAGTGCTGATTCTGGGTCTGTTACTTTAGATGAAAATAAGGAGCCCCTCCCCACGCCCCTCTGAGAGATATTTGGTTAAAAAGAACACAATGGTGCTCTAGGAAGAGATTCAGGTGATAAGGGGGGCGGGTTACCTTGTTGGTTATTGGCTAATGGTTACACTAGCCAAAAACATCGTTATGACATCATAAAGTGGCCAAAATCTGATCAGCTCATTTTCAGACAGGTTTTTATATAAATGGATCAGGACAAAAAGTGAGCGAATCTTTTTTCCTGAAACTTTCAGAATCTCTTTACACAGAGGGGACACATGTTGATGTAGAAAAGACATGAAAAAGTGGATTTTGAATAATAGGTGACCTTTAACAACTGAACATCCTAGAAAAATAACAAACTAATACTCATATTGCTCACTCTATGAACTGTGATATTGTGCGTAAACAGCAGATTATCAGACTTACGAGAAGCGCTGCCACGATAGGACCGTGGACGGCGTAGAGCAGATGGGTTTCCACACTCATCCAACAACTAGAAGGAAAAACACATCCGTCAGTGCTGTGTGCGGCCCAAAATACACATGCACACACACATACAAAAACATGCACGTGTAAGGATCTGCACGCTCCCGACTCTCCGCCGCACACAGACGAGCACGTATGTAAACATCTCCTGTTTATTTGCAGAAGTCTTGGAACATTACTCACTTGTCGTCAAAATACTTTTTCCTCGCCACGGCGTGGATGGATGCAGGCACTAGAGGAAAGCCTTGGACGAGAGAAAGATGGCAGCCATATGAGGTCTTGAGTGACTTTAGGGAAATTCATTTGTCATTTTTGCGACAGTAAAAACTAAATAGGGTTAGCTTGTTTTTCCTCAATACATAAATCAGTCTCTCACAGATATCATTGTATAAATGATTGGAAAGGCTTAAAGACAGTGAATTGCTCCAACAGGAAAAACAACACCACATGGTTAATTCCATGTAACAGTGTTGTGTAATAAGAGGCTGGGCTCAGAGTAGCTTTTCATATTTCTGGATATAAACTCATGAAAACATGTGCAGCTATTTTCAGGCTCCATTGAGGTTCTGCGGCGTATCGGCCACAGATGGACCTGACTGACTAACCGCCTAACACAAACTCACACACACTCTCTCAAGGTTATCCTTTTATTTTTAATGATGACCATCCATTTAGTTCCATCGCCAACTTGTGACAGACTGCACACATTATTTCTGTTTGGAACAAGGTGAACAACAGGACAGCACTAAGCGACAGGAGGGCTAATAAAGCTGTCAGCCTATCAAGGTTGAAAAACTGTAGGAGGATCAGGTGCATACGGGTAAAATGGAGCGTATAGATTGGGTTCTGTCTTGCTGATTTGTTTCATTGACATGTTTGGAAAGCATGAAAAAAATATGCGGCATATAAAACATAACTAGAAAAAACAGACTTTTGATCAAATGTTAGACTCACCCCAGCCGAGCAGGTAGTACCAGTGCAGATGCTGCTCCTCTGCAAACACAGCCACCACGATGAGAGTGTGCAAGTAGATGCCTTCACAAAGCATCCAGAAATAATTGCAGCCCAGCATGTACATGTGGAAGAAGTGCAGCACCTTACAGCCAACCTGCAGAGAGAGCCCAAACAGGGAAGCATGTTAGTTGTTTTTGTATTTGAATTAAAAAAAAGGTTGATTTACACTGCTGACATCTTCTCAGCGGGACCCAGAAACATCTAAGAGGATGTTTCGGCACCCATGGCACAAAATCATTACCCTCTGCAGACAGAGATGATGTTTATTCATTTACCCCCCCTGGAGGTGAGCATAGATGGAAATGTACTTTGTATTTGGAGTGCTATTTGATTGTGTTGTCTCACTTTGCAAAAGGAAGTGAATACCATGTTCAGCAAAGGCATAGTAGTTATAAAGCACTATGCACATTTCAAACATGACATGCCTCATTATTGCGCTATTCTTTTGATTGAATAATTATTATTATTGCTATTTCTATAAATACCAAGATATCTGTGGGTGTGCCTTAAGCTGTACTTGTGCAAATGAACCTAACTGTACTCATGTCTATTCAAAAAGTCCAAACTTTTTTAGCAAGTAAGTTAATTTCACGTTCTGCGTGTGTACCTCTAGGAAACTTTTAGACTTATAGTTGCAATTCTTAGGAGATTTGTTAAGGAGACATATATTTGGACTGCTCAAATGTTGGCGGCTGCTCGCTCATCTCTTCTCAGATGGCTTCCCCATTTTGGATCATGTGGCTCCAATAAAAGCCAAGATGGCTACAAGTGGTAATCTAAATCAAACAGCTACCTAAAAAGTTGTGCTTAATGTTACAGATTTCTCATATGTTGCAGTTTGTTTCTCCTTTCAAAACAGAAACAAATATATACTTTAAATCCACTTTAACATGTAGCACATACTGCTACTTCTGCTACTACACCAAAAGACACCATCTCCACAGTGCCATTTCATTCATTTCTTATGGGATCATATTATTGGCATCCAAAATGTATCAATATATTTGTGTTTTCTTCTTCAATATTTTTTTTGTGTTTGAAATGAAGATCCATAACACAGTAATCTCATTATATATTTAAATTAAAAGCTCATAATGGTGACTGTACTGGGAGAATAGTGGTTTCAGGGGAGGGGGGGGTGGTGCGGTGCGGTTAAGATTATTTAAATTAGGTTGTCTGTGTATGTAGTTATTTTTTGAGTGACTTAAAGGTAGGGTAGGTAAGTTTGAGAAACCGGCTCGAGATACACTTTTTGTTATATTCCATGGAATGCTCTTAACATCCCGATATCAATTAATATCTTAAGTGCTTTGACAAAAAATCCATTAAAAAATGTATACTGTAAAAAGCACGGCCAATCATTTTAGCCGGCCCGGCTAAAATAACTGGATGGCCTACCTGCCTGTCAGCCTTCCATCTGTGCACAAACTTATCTCGTGCCCTCATTGGTCATGTGCGCGTTCGTGTGTGTTGGAGGAGGGGCTCTGTAAGGAAGTGGCAAATTTTCTCCGGTTGTGTATTTTCAAATTCTAGCGATCTTGAGCCGGTTTCTCAAACTTACCTACCCTACCTTTAAGTATCATGTTGTAATCTTGAATAATTGCTTTCTGAAAAAAACAAGTACAATTTGTTTTCCCTGAAATACAAACTGCCTATGGAGAAGAAAGACAGAAGAAACCTTTGTACAATAACATACAAATAAAAAAACAGGAAATCAGGATCTCAAGATCATTGAGGTGTGTTTAAAGAGCATGCGTGCAGCCACAGTATAACTCAACGGTGCTGGCTTTGCTTTTAACGTCTGCTCTCAGGGGTCTTATTCAAAATACACAACAATCATTCACTCCTAAACTTTTAGCCATATGTCTCTCCCTCACTTTCCTACGTTTCCCTTTCCACTCAAGGAACTTTGACTATAGCAGACATCTCGTATGCTGAACTCACTTGTCCTTTACTCACAACTGTTTTGCATTACAGCTAAAGGTATGTCTAAAGTTACCGACAATGTTCTGGTTTACAAATCAAGCAGCTATACATCATGTAGAATGTTTCTCTTGTTTTCAGGCTCCTCCCTGGTTTGACATAAGCTTTGGAGATTCACTCCCCCACACTGCTGGCAGGCTACACCAGACTCTGTATCGCCACGCTATAGAGAATTAAAAGAGCTTGTATTCGCTGTGAAAGCAAATCTCCACCACAATCCACCTTTCCTAAATCGCCAGCGCAGAGAACAGAGGCTCATCATTCTTATATTGGCAGCTGAAAATTCCGAAATGTTTCCCAAAAGACACGCATGAAGCCTAACTAATGGTGCTTGAGATTTCTTTTTCTCCATCCTCTCGAGAAGCGAGGCCACGGTGACCATTTTTGTTCTGACATGCTGCAGCGAGTTAGCACAACTTGACAGTTCTAAGTCGGAAAGTAGCAGGTTCGACACAAAGCTTCTTGACAAATAGCGAGGGGAGCTTTGAAAGCAATCCATTGCACAAAAATACATATATTTTTTGACAATAATGGCTCTCATGCCTGGCTGCTCCTTGGATACAGTTAGAGATGGGATGTGAATAAAAGACGGCGGCCAGGATGAGCCAGACAGATTTGGTGAATGAATGAAAAAGGAACAGCAGCAGGACAGAAAATAAAACCCAAACCAGGCTCAGGCCTCCGCTGACTCCGCCGTTGTTTCGGGTACTTTGTCGGGCCAGATACGCTCAAGCTGAAACTGGCTAGGATCTGATGGGGTAGTATGAACGGTGAGCCAACTGCTACAATCCTGTTCGCTATTTCTGCATGTGGTAAATTCTATTCTGTTCTACATAAAAGGTAAGATATGATCCTTTTTTGGAATTGTAAAAACCCTCCGATAACAACCGTTAAGAAAAAAGCAATCACAGAGTTTGCAGGTTTTTCTTATTTATATTTCCAAAAGGAGTGTTTCTTGAAAAGTAACACATGAATTTATGTCCAGGCCTGATAGTGAGGCATTCCAACAAGACAGATTTATCATCTCTACCAAAGCAGACCTCGGGGTCCAAAGAATTCACATAATGCATTCAGTGTGGCTCCAAAACTCTGGGTAGGAGTATGTGGAAGAAAGCAAAAACCCATAATACTGCCAAGATACGGCAAAGTGAGCACTAATTAGGATGTACTTAAAGTCTGACTACAAACGTTTACAAATTTAAAATATAGAGCAATCTATTTGAATGTAGCTTCCTTGATCCCCTGGCCCTGCATAAACATATACATTTTTAAAAGTTCATGGAAATTCTTCTTTGAATTTTTATATGGTTTAGCATAAATTGTGAATGCATTTGTATCTCATTTCAAGACAGTGGGACTAATCCTCCTCCATAAATCAAATTCTGCTAACTGGTATTTCCTTTTTTTTGGTATTGCTAGCATTTGGCTCTTTAGGTGAACATTCACCACTTCGTCCAGATTGACAAATATTGCACAATAGATATTGGCTACAATAAAATATGCAAGTGGTTCATAGATTTATAAATCATTCACCAGCTTAAAAACAATCTAATCATTGGCTGCTATATTTAGAAAATGTGCTAGCCGTTTTGCCGGTGGACATAATTATTGTCATATTTTTGGTGTTCCAATAACTTCACCTGTGGTGCCATTATCAGATACAATATTTCGGTTAATGACTGAAGAGCCTTCGTGAAAAACCAATGACATTCCCATTAGCTTCAGCTGTAAATTGCTATGTGCTTATTAGCTAATGTTCGCATGTTATCATGCAAAACTTAAAGGTCCCATGTCATGCTTTTCCGGTTATTACCCGTCCCGTTGTGTATTATGAAGGTTTTTATGCATGTAAACGTCTGCAGAGTCACAAACCCTCAGATTACACCCTGTAGCGAGTAAAACACAGAAAAGACCGCGCTAGGGGGGGTGTGCTAGTGGAGCCTCGCAGCGGCGAAACCGTGGCGCGCTTACACTGTAGGTGTGCCGCATTTGGGGGTGCGGGAGCTAGTGGAGCCTCGCAGATGGGGGTGCTGCAGCCCTCTCAGCACCCCCTCCCTTCCCGCGTCCATTCGCGATGTCACGTTGTCTCGCAGTCTCGCAGACCCCACGCAGCAAGCAGGAAATGAACCCAGCTCACACTGTCCGCTCCTCGCAGCAGCGAGCCGCGCAACGTCCCGCCAACACGGCACCCAGACCCCACGCAGCATTCTCATCTGTTTGTCCTTACTGGTGTCATTTTCTGGTTGCTAACGCCATTGTAACACATACTCACTGATGCTCCGCTGTAACGGTGGTGATCTCATCAGAGCAGAGTGGGCGAGCTGACCAATCAGAGCACAGTGGGCTCACAGGGAGGGGGAGGGGGGGGGGGGCAGGAGCTCCAACAAGCCGTTTAGGACAGAGAGTGAATACATATACTATACAGAGATGCTGTATGAGAAACCAATGTGAGTTTGGAAAATTGCACAATATAAATCTATTCTAGTAGACCTCAACAATGGAATTATGATCAGTAGAAATGGTCATGACATGGGACCTTTAAACAAATAATGTTTTAAATAACTGTTAAACTAGTGAGATTCCCTTTGATGAGATAAGATCCAACTTTATTTGGCTTTTGTTAAAACTAGCTCATTTTAGCATAGCAACATGCTAAGCTAAGGTGGTGTGGCCTGGGCCTGCACAGTAAACAAACCTGTTAGCATTGATGTTGTAAACATGTTAGCATGTAGCTAGTCTGACAGATACATTGTGTTAGTTTCCAACCCCACTTTGGATATATTGAAGTGCTTAAAGTAAGATTAGTGGTTGTCCTGGTGGTGACAGAGGCTACTCACCGGGTTTCTGGCAACAACTTCAGGATTATTGACCACAGCTACGAGGGAGATGATGGTGAGGGCTGAATTGAACACATAGGAGCAGAAGAGGTTCTTATGCAGGGTGATCCTTTGGCAGCTCAGGCTCCTGTGTGAAAAGAAACCACAATTTATTTTGAAGCCTAACATACCATTAAATGATGAGGTAATCTTAAGAAATAGCATCTTCAAATATGGAAAACAATCCTTTCTGACACTGACAAAACACTTGCTACAAATGTTAACGTAAACAGGATGAAACGTGATCGGCAGGCTAATAGCCTAATGCTTTAATGAGGTTTTAATGTTGCTACAGTCTGTTATATAATTGGGATCTTTCCTTTTATAATTCTTTGTGGTTGGTATCATAAATCCCTGGTTATAATGAATTGGATTGCTTCTAAATGTTCTGTACTGTACAAGCTATAAACACAGTAAAATAATGTATAATGGATCCCGAGGGTAGTCCTCATTACCTTTGCTGGCCACATAATGAAATGCTTGAAAGGCAAAGTGAAAATATCTATTACTGTATAATGAAAATCATTACAATTCATTTCTATCCAGTAGGTTTATTGTGTGTAATGGTTAAGTACTGCTTTATTTAAGGCCATTAAATGAACTGCAGGTCAGAGGGTGTTTAAAGCTGACTGAAACCATACACCAAATATATTTTGTAGAATATAGCCTCCTATAAAAATGTCGTCCACAGTTTAAGAAGTCATATCCTTTTATTGGCCATGGAGAATTTTATCTTTGTTGAGCCATAAAAACCCCAGAGACTCGTGAAAAACAAGAAGAGCAGCGCATTCTCTCAAGCCAGGACCAAACCGAATACACAAAAAGCACATTTTCACCGTCTCACTCTGCAGAGGCAGCGGCTATCTCCGACACAAAAAACAGTCTAGCTGTGGCTCCAGGCATAAAAAGAAATGCAGAAGCTGTTGAATGCTTATATACAAGTGGTTTTTATCTAGAAAGGGATGTCAAAACACGGACTGAATTCTAATGGCAGCGCTTTTTTGGACCGTCACAGATCAACATCTTCGGGGATGGCTGTTTAACCACGTAGGTTTTTCCCCAGCAAGCTTGAATATTTCTATCTGGGAATCCTGACAGTGTTGATGTGAAGTTGTAAATAACAGCGTAGTGCAGCTGTACACCATCGCATACCAATGTAAGCTTCACATCTGGGTCTAATACAACATTAAGCCTCCAATATTTAAAGTCTGTTGGCTATAAATAGTGTGAGACTTGGTTAAAGATAAAGTAATTTCAAAGCCAACATCTCTGTTACTGTGTTGAGTTATTAATTGGTCGGCACTTAGATCTTGATGAGTTGTGAATGTCCCGCCGTGTTTTTGTGTAGCTGAGTTAAGAGTTTGACTCTTAGAGGGTCATGCTGTTTTGCAACAATGCACCTGCCCTAAACATGGCCGTTAGATTTACGAGTGTGTATTAAACTTTGCAGCACACTGAGGGTTTCATACAAGATCGGTTCTGGATAACAGCTGCCTTTACAATTGCAGAATTCATGAACAACAGGGCCAACGAAGAAACGTTTCCAAATATTGTAACAGAACATAAAACTAATTTTCTGCGTATTCAGGTTTCTTCACAGTTATCCGTAGAGCTATAACCCTTTCTGCATCGTTACACATGCTTATTAAGCTCATTCCTTCCTAAAGATAAATTATAAAGTTTTAACAATGTCTGCTAACTCTTTCCTCAGGCTTCATCACCTCCAAATTAATATTCACATACATTAACTAAATATAATACCTTCCTTTGCTATATGTGCTTTGAACTCTTCCTTAAGTGAATTTCAACTGCAGTATCTCCTTTAATTGTGCACTTTTTCCCCTCTGGGATTAAGCAGTCCATCGGGATGAACAACCCTAATGAGCAATGCACTCAGGTGCACATGTTTGTAATAAAATCACACCGCCGACACATTCAACGGACTTCACAGCTCTCCAGTTTTAAATCCTAAATATCCATGAAATAAATGTGCAGCACAAGGAAACCAAGTTGGCATGAAATTAGCACCAGTTAAATTGCGTATAAATTACACTCAGTGAAGCAGCAGGAGTATTTTCAGGTTAATAGTTTGCATTGGCAGCAGCTGAGAAAGTAATCATTTTCTAATTACTCTTCAGTTTTAATTTAACACTGCGCTAATTTATTTTTAACAGTTTTAGATCTTATAATCTTTTAGATGTTACTTGCCTCAGAGCATCTCAACGAGGGAATAAACAATCAGCCCTTTTGATTATATGACAAAATGTGACATCAAAACTCATTAACACTGACAGATCTTCTGTGTGGCTCTTGGGCAAGTTTTTAAAAAAAAACTGCTGTTGCAGACAAAAGCATAAAAGGAGATTTCACTGACTGCACATAAGATTGAGACTAAACGACTGACCATGATGAATAATGAAATGACTGGATGAGACTGGTCGTAAAATCTGAACACCATCTGTGTGTCTGTCTGATCCTTTGATTATAGTGACTGTGATGATTCAACCTTTAAGAGCAAAGCCACCATCTATTAATCAGCCAATGATGATAACAAATGGTATCAGCTTTCATCTCAGCACAACCATCCTGAATATTAATTCACATCACGATATGCATCATCAGACCAGAAATTACAGCTGAATAATAATTGAACTGATTACCTGAAGTAGAAGAAGATGGCCAGAGAGATGAGCAGGGAGGCTATGGACAGAGCGTGACCCACAATTGCCATGTAGAACAGGATGTACGCTGACTGTGAAATAAGAGAAAAGACAAGTTACTGTGAAGCATTTCTATTGGAGAAAAATAAGATTCGCAGAAGAAATATGAAGTTTATGAAGTGTCACATGGTGTTTCCTTTGAGTATTTGTGCCTTTGGAAGACCCAAATCAAATAAAAAAGCATAACATTTAATGTGCATTTTTACACAAAAATCTACTTTTTTTAATAAAGTGACATCTTTGTTTTATTGTATATTTTAAGATTTGCGTAGCTTTTATAGAGACACAACAACAGGATTGATAAATACAGAGAAAAGTGTTAAGAGTGCTGCAAGGAATTACACTATAACGCTGTGCTCACATCTCAGTTCATGGTGTGGTCCTTGCTCGTGAAAAAAGGAATTAAGAGCTTAAGTTGGCATCAACTCAGTCTTATCAGAAAATCGTGCACCGTTTATTTTTGTCTTATTTCTCTTTGGGGTTTTAGTGCTGAGGCTGTTTGTTTAAGAGGTTTCCTAAAGCTGCGAGGCTGAGGCAGCGAAGCTCGGGTTTCTGTGCCAACAGATGGAGCGGCTGATCTGTGTTTCTGATCGATCAGCAGACTTTGAGTCTTTCTCCCAGGTTTGCCAGGACAGCTGCAAAGTCCACTGCCTGGATGGAGACACGGTTTCCTGCAGTTCTTTTGTTTTTTGTTGTTGTTATTTGCAATCGTTTTCTCTTTTGCAGATGGGATAGCAGGGCAGAGTTTTGGCGGAGTTGGCAAACTTGTTGTCAATAAGATGCCAAATCAACAGAATAAAATATGGAAACGTTTCCAAAAAGGAAAATCCGAAAATGTAAACTTGCAAAAGTGAAATTTGGCACAGTGTGCTTTTTCCATTAAAACTTGTAGAGAAATACTTTACATTATATCAAAATATCAAAAAATATGGTAACACCAAATCACCCTCACTGATTATTACATATCTTATATTATGAATAGTGGGTATTTGTGCACCAATGATATATATGTGTCTTAACTGTAAATGTAACATGAATTACAGCATTTATAATAAACATTAAACATTAATACATGTATTTTAATTGTTTGTAAAGTCAGTAAAAGTATAATTATTTTATCTTTTTTATCAATTAAAATAGCTTTTAACAAACACATAGGACCATGGTGCCTGAGTGATTAAACTAAACTCCTACAACAGTATGGTTTGACCATTTTCTGTAATCACCTGCCATAAGATATAGCAGGGTTAAAACTGACTAAATTCTACAAGTATTCTGTAAAATGAATTGCAGTGTTGATCAAAAGGCATGTGGGTAACACATAAAGTTGATGATGTCTCTTCCAGGAAAACACTGTTGTACGCCGTGTGGTTTTCTGATCTGGTTTCCATGTGGGAAACGTTGTTAGTGGCTTAGTACAGCAGCCTGGTGATAAGAGGGTTGTTAATAATGCTAATTTGTAGTTAGAATTCTCTGTTTTATGACTATAAAGCCTGAGGGACGGAGGCCTGCATGTAACTTGTCATCTCTGAATATTTCTGTGGAGCTTAGTGCAGGAGAGTAATGTCTTTTGGAAATAGAAAGCCTGTTAATATTGGTCTCTGCAGCAATATTTATGGGCAACTACGTCAGACTATATATCATCTGCCCACGCTCCAAATACCAGAAGACTCCATGCTAAAGTAAAGGAAAGAGTATGCTGACCCATCACACTGTCATCACCATCTATGATAGCATCTTAGATATATTACCTTCAACTTTGCGTTGGTGTTTTCGATGCAGAGTGTGTAGTTGGACCAAGTCCTGTTGGTATCCGGGTGGCGGAACCACTGCCCGTCCTCCCCACAGTATTTAGTGGCCTTTTCTGTAAGTAACAATTAAGGAATTAATGCATATTCTCCAAGTGTCTTCACAGTGTCCATATATTCAGGTTCTGTCAGCCTTGGTGAATAATTCATCGTCTTAGCAATTCATATTTAGTAGTTCTTGAAAAACAGTCAACAGTGTCAGAGGTGAATCCCTCCTGCATCAGAGGACCTTTAAATCAGCGTCTCTGGAGTCGTGCGGCTCACCTGTCGGGTCAAAGTCGGCGAAATAATTGGGGCAGTTCTGCGAGGCGTATGTTGCCACTGGAGTGTCGCCCCAGCACAGCCAGCCGTCCCAGTTACGACTGCAGTGCTGCGCTGTGACACAGACACAGCAACAAAGAGAGTGAGACGACCACAGAGGTTAAAGATGGCATGATGAGTCCCAGTAGATCATATCTCTACCTGATTTGTTATAAGGTGCATCTCGACGCATTCTCTCGATGCAGTTGTACTGGCTGTCGAGGATCTTCTTTCTCACAACTTCCTGTACCTCTGGGTTAACCATGGGGCCGACTGTGGCCTCTTCAGCAGTCAGTATCTCGGTTTCCCCTGAGAGTTGTGCGGCTGCCTTTTAGACAGACACACAGTAAATATCAATCAGGACCAAACAGTGGCTATGGGAAAGAAAACATGACAGACAATTAAAGAAAAGTTGCATTTAATTGCAAAAATATGCTTATCCTGTTTCTCTTTTGAGAAGAAAGAAAGAAATATGCCCGCAAACTCTGACGATCAATACAGAATCACATAACCAACGCAAAACTACATTCATATTTTCTAAAACCCTTACAGCCGAGCAAAACATGATTTACTATTTTGTTCCTTTTCAATCTCTAATTTATTGATGAAGTGAAATCATATTAAATTCCACTAAGAGAGACACAATAAATGGAATTATTATTTTTTAGACTATCAGTCATCTTCCTTTCAGGCTATGAAATGCAGAAAAACCACAGAAGTATAAACTGAATTACTGAGAATCTCTTTGAAAAATCTGTACGGTATGTATTGGAAGCATTGAGTAGTTATTACAGTAAATCAGGATACATTACCTTCAACCGCTCCTTAGTGTTGACAGCACAGAGAGTATAATTTGTCCAAGTCTTATTGCTCTCTGGATGGTGAAACCACTGGCCGTCTTCTCCACAGTACTTACTAGCCTTTTCTAAGAAGAAAAATAACGTGATAAATACACTGTATGTTAAACATTTCTATACATTTCCACTAGTAGCCATAAACGTTAGTCCCATTAGATTTACTTTATAATCCTCAAAGCAATTTCAGAATCAGAAATCCTTTATTTGAACTGCAGTGGACAAATTAACAGCTTATAGTCGATCTTCTTTACAAACAGGACAATGTGGTAGAAAAAGGGATGAATTATTTAAACAAACTGCTCACCTGTGTGGTCAAAGTCAAACAGGTAATCGGGGCAGTTCTGCGAGGCGTATGTTCCCGCTGGAGTGTCGTCCCAACACAGCCAGCCGTCCCAGTTACGACTGCAGTGCAGCCCTGAAACATCGACAGAGAAAACACAAAATCATAATGAAAAATGTTTCCTGGCTGCTATTTCCCAAAATCCTCTCATCACGGTAATATCACATGGATTTACAATACAATAACAGTGAGACTCATTGGACAGTTTTAGTACCTGACTTGTTATAAGGTGGGTCTCGATTTATTTTCCGGAGGCATTTGTATTCGTACTCAAGCATCTTCAGTTTCTGTAAACAATAACAAAACAATATGTTACAACATTGCATAATATGGTTTAGACAATTTGAGAAAGGGAGATTTGATTCCTGATGAGCAATACTCCTTTTTAGCCTAAGGTCTGGGTCAAACTTGAAATTAAACTGCAATAATGTTTCAAAGAACGCAGAGAGAGATCTTTACTGCTATCAAATTAAATCTCAGTAGGCAAAGCAAGACAAGACAGTTCTATAATTATAAGAAAACATTTCAGAAGTGGAGTGCGACCTATATTTATTTTGAGGAGGAGCAATGGCACAAGTAGCATTATGTTGTCATAACACTGCAAAACTGTGGCTCTTTGTTACAGGAGAACACTGTGCTCATCCTGTTTACTACATTTGTGGAGGCCATTCATACGATTGTTGTGCCAAATTGTTATTTTCCATTATTCTGTAATTGCAGAAAAGACTACATGCCCTGAATTTGCAGAAAGAACAAGCAGTATTGAGGTTTTATGCATAATCTGAACAATAAATACACAACAGAAAGTTTATTTTATCAACAATACTTTACCCTCAGTCTCTTCTCGTGGTTGGTGGTACAGAGTGTAGAGTTGGTCCAAATCATACTGGACTCAGGATGGTGGAACCACCGACCGTCCTCGGCACAGAACTTTGTTACCTTTTCTGGAAAACACAATTACGTGATTAAATCTAATTTCTTGAATTACTGTCAACATATAATTAAAGGTGAATTTGTCTTGCCAGGGTAACAAGATAGCAACAGAGCAGCAAAGTCTCTCCGCCCACCTGTGGGGTCAAAGTCACCAAAATAATTGGGGCAGTTTTGTGAAGCGTGGCTTCCTGCTGCGGTGTCCTCCCAGCACAGCCAGCCATCCCAGTTACGACTGCAGTGCAGGCCTACAAAAACAGCAAAAAATGTTACAGGCCATTTGTTCATAAGTTTGTCCAGTGTGAAATTAGAGTTACACTTAATAGCTACCTGATTTGTTATAAGGCGGATCTTGCTTCATTTTCTCTGAGCATTTCTTTTCATTCTCAAGGATCATTTTTTCCACAACACTGCCTTTTTCTGCCTGAAGCGCTGTGGACTCTGTGGTCGGCTCTCCAGGCGCATCCAATAAAAAATGGGGAACTTCCCTCTAAGAAATATAAAGATAGTTCAGTGTGATAATGAGAGCACAGAGCAGCTAAAGCTAGCACCATCTCATTCTTATATTACTTAAAGCGAAGAGCAAAATACCTCCAATTTGCTCTTTGAAGCTGGTTGACAATTGGACGCAGTCTCGACCCAGTTACCAAATTCGGGACAATATTTGGTCACTTTTTCTGTAAAAAAAGAATAAAATGCAATGACTTCACAATTGAATACTCCATTGATGATTCACCTAAAAGCTCTACTTTATTAAAAAGCAAATTATTGCTTCTGTTTGATGTTCATGTCCAGCAGAGAACCTCTTATTTTCTTTGTTCTGTCTTTTTCTCCAGCATCAATCCAACACATAAATTGGACGCTGAATGTGATTAATGTAACATGGCACCCATCATCAAACGTTATGTCAAACTGAAAAAATTCCCTCTTTTTTTCTGGCAAATTCTCAAATCTCGGCTCCGGCTTGAAACCACATGTAGTGTAGGTCCATGACTGTGCTCTGAATGAGATCACATCGTCCTGACAACAGCAGCCTCAGCCTAGTCATCTCCGACAGCTCATCAACTGTTCAGCATCCTCTTCCAACTGTACGTCTCTCCCAGAAGCTTCATATCAGCACCATCAGTTTTCAAATAAGCAGCCACAAGGGGACACTTAACGTCACAGGCATTTTGGGAAGATCCTTTATGAGCCTACAAAAACACTTCTCATTCACATTATCTCTCCCCATCTATCTCTCTGACTCTGTCTTATTTTGTAATCCTTCTTTTTTTTTAAGTTTCTCTTCATGTACCCTTCAGTCCTCTTTGTCCTTTTCCTCACCCCCCTCCTCTCCATCATATCAGTACTCCTAAATCAGACATGACTGCACTGTGGATTTCTCAAACTAGACATTATTGGGCCATGCATTCCTCACAATGTAACAAATGCTCATCCTGCAGTCCCACAGTCAATTTCAATATGAATAAATCTGTTTCCATTTATTCTGATTGATAGAACACAATGGACTAATGAATTACCTTGCATCCAGTTCATAAATATATTATACTGTACAACCTTTCCTCTGCACCCATTGTTTAGTCTTCCTGCATTGAAGCATACAGAGCCACAGTGATTTATTTGTCAAGACTAAAGTCTCCCGGCACAACAGTGCTTTTACATGTAGCTAAATGCTAACTGTAGTTTGTTAACATGCTGAAAGATAATGCTAACATGCAGATATTGTAAAGTTTGCAATGTTCAGAATTTAAGATGGGCGTTTAAAGCACTATGGGTATTTCACGAGAATACAGTCTGTAATTGTTCAAAACAAATCACAGTTAAAATCGGAAGGAGAGCTAGTTTATGCTAAGAGCTAACAACATTGAGTTAGACCATGATGCGTTCAAGCTCAAACAATTAGGATTGGGCACATTTTAAGGTATGATGTTGTGTTCAATTGCAATCTTGTAAAATCGAACAGTTGGCAAGACATTTGAATGAATCAGTTATTGAGAGATGTACTGAAAGTGTTATTTGTATTGCCATGTGTTATCTGAGTGAATCAATGAATTTGGATAGTTAATACTTTTATGGATTTATTTAAAAAACCTTCCTTTTAAAATTTACCTACTGAGGACATGATGCGGAAAATGCAATTACTTTATGCACTTTAGTCAGGGAGGGACACTTACATTATAATGTGGTTAGATTTGGTAGAAAGGAAGCAGAAATAATCTAAAGATTCTTAGAAGTAAGACAGCTTCTGCTTGAAGAGGGCATTCATTGGACATTCCCAGTCAGCTTGCAGGCTCACAGCTGACGAACAAAAGCTTAAAATTCAGAGCACAGCCTAAAAACGTTCTGTTGACCGGCACACATACAATACAAAATCAAATCTTCCAAGAGCCTTCAAGCCCCATGCTGGCCATTGGAGCTCTGTTCATACAATCAGCCCCATGACCTCCATCACACAGAAGATTTGATCGTTTCCTGTGTTTTCTGCTGATATTAAAACCAAAGTTCAAGAATGTTGTTTTCTAATGTTGCCAGAAGTGAACATCTCTTCTTACCAGTCGGGTCCAGGTCAAGATGATCTGGACAGTTTTGTGTTACTGACGTCCCAGCTGGAGTCTCATCCCAGCACAAAGAGCCATCCCACATACGCCCACAGAACGTACCTTGAAAGGAAATATAAAAAGAAAAGAAAATGCACTGACTCTGGGTTATTACCAACACATATTTTCTGTCTTTTGTTGTAACATAAGTTCTCTATAGCTACAGCTTCCACTCTAAACGCTGTAAGACGAAACTCTGCCCGCAACACTACCATTACCTTTAACAAGAATAACAACAGTAATCTGCTCTCATCCACCGCCTTACAACATTATTACACCTGGGATGCTCTCCCACAGGTAATCAATTTAGCCTCAAGAGGACTTAAATGATTCGGGCCTCACCGGTTCTGTTCTCCTGCTGGTCTCGGTTGGACAGCTTAAGACATTTATATTGACCCTGGCTCACCGCCTGGTCCTGTCCATCTGTCAAGCTAAGCCCAGGCCTGAGTGATGGGTCTGAGATTGACTCAGCAACTCCAGCCACCCTGCGCTGTGGAGACAACACGAGGGGTGAGAAGAAAGGGGGGGCAAACATGTTTGACTTGGAAAACAGTATGCTGTGTAGATAGGGACTTGTTAGTGAGTTTGTTGTGTGTTTGCTGCTTTGATCTAAATGCATTGACTGTAAAAGCTTAAGCATAAATATTAATTTTGATGATGTTGGCTACATTTATAAAGATTCCCAGTCTTATCACGCCGACGATGTACAGATCTATCTGCCTCTCAAAGCAAATGTCACACACTCACTACAGCAGCTGATGGACTGCTTAGCAGAGATAAAATCCTGGCTGAGCAAAAACGTCCTCAACCTCAACGAGAGCAAGACCGAGGTCATCTTTTTTGGACCGCAACCTCCAGCCTCTCCGGTTGATATTCTGGGCTCTATAAAAAAAAACATCCTCCCCTCGGTCATGAACCTTGGAGTGACCTTCACCAGCACTTTTAAATTCGACAAGCAGGTCAGCACCGTAGTAAAATCCTGCTTTTTTAAAATAAGACTATTGGCCAAAACCAAGTCGTATTTATCTTTTAAAGACTTAGAAAGGGTTATTAACGCCTTTGTAACCTCGAGACTGGACTATTGTAACGCTCTGTATGTGGGTATGGACCAGGCCTCAATCAAACGCTTACAGCTAGTCCAAAACGCTGCTGCACGTTTGCTGACTGGCCACAAAAAGCGCGACCACATCACCCCTATTCTGGCCTCATTACACTGGCTTCCAGTTCGGTTCAGAATTGATTTTAAAATCCTTTTATTTGTTTTTAAAGCACTAAATGGGCTGGCTCCGGCCTATATAGCTGAACTGCTCCAGCGCTACACCCCAGCCAGAGCTTTAAGGTCTGCTGACCAGCTGCTGCTGGTAGTGCCTAAGACCAGGCTAAAAACCCGAGGGCACCGAGCCTTCGCAGCAGCTGGCCCGAGGCTCTGGAACACTCTGCCCCTCCATGTGAGGTCGGCCCAGACCCTAGGGGTTTTTAAACCAAAACTAAAAACACACTTCTTCTCTCTGGCTTTCTAGTTAGAGCGGAGCACGACTCCTGACTTTTACGTGTGTTTTATTTTTATTTTGTTTTTTAAGATATGTCTGTTGTAATTTATTGTCGTTTATTGTGATTTATAGTAATGTGTTTTTATTACATGTACAGCACTTTGGCTCGACCAAAAATCGCTTTTAAATGTGCTATATAAATAAAACCTGATTTGATTTGATTTGATCAGGCTTAGACATGCACCCTTACTTACTATAAAATTAAATGAAAGAATAAGCATGTAAAGTGTTTGAAGCTTCTTCAAAGCTGTTCTGATGAGGATTTATCTACACGCATGTAACCAATTAAAGTGTGTTTGGAAGATCACAAAACAGTTAAGAATCTGATTTCCTTCAAATTAAACTTATCTCTGCTCTATTGTTAATATTTGCACGTTGCATTAAAAAGGAAGAATCTTGGAGTGTGAAATGCTGATTTTGATAATGCTTCTCACTGAAGGATAAAAAGCCCATTTTGGTCTGACTTATCTCGCAAATCTTTTAAACGTAAGCCTCTCAGAGAACCAGGCTCATGCACTTGCATTTTCTGAATTATTGAAGGTATTTTCAGACTTTGCATGTCGGATTGTCTCCACATGTTTTGTCACATTAAAATACAAACCTTGTTCCCCTTGTGTCTTTTAGCAGGCAAATGGAATTCCCGTAAAACCAAAATAAAATTCTTACCTGTCTGAAAAAGGCTTGTAAAAAGGCAAAACACAGATACAGTGACTTTTGTGAGAATGCCGATGTCCCATGTAGCAGTTTAGCAGCCGTACATATGATGTCACTCCAAACACTGAAGTAAATGACGTCATACATACGACCACCAGGCCACCACCAATATCAACAGATGAGAAAAGAAAGATGTACTCTGAGGACTCTTCTCACCTGTTACATTTCACGTTTCTTCTTAAATCAACATATGACAAGAGCAATCATAAGAGAAAGTACAGAAAGATAAAGCAGAACAGCACAGGTATATCAGGCATACAACAATTGGCAGGGATACTATTCTGGACCTCAATGTCAAGTTTGATGCTGAACAGCAAAGGAAATTCAAACTTCCATTTCACACCGACACCGAGGGATAGTGGAACAACCGTTTTTTCCATAAGGGACATTGATTCATGATAAATACCTCAGCAGTAAAAGCTTCAGCCTGTCAGAGACAAGACAAATATCATCTCTGAGCTTTCCAACAGCTCGAGCCATGGTGTTGAAACTTCCATTTATTACAGAAACCTCATTAAGCAAATAGATGTGCTGTGATTTGTAAAGAGAACCGCAAGTCCATCAAAAACATATTTGGAAGTGTGATTTATTTAATTATCAACCCTTCAGCAACCCTTCATTAGGCAGATCAGTATATTTTTGAATTAAATAACATGGTGCCAAAGTGTGAAATAGTACGTTTCTGTTAACATATTTGACTGATGATTGCAACACCCCTATTAAACCCATTGATGTAATTTCTCAAACACTCTATGCCCCGTGTTAATATGACTCAACCCTTAAAGCTCATTACATTTCGTTGGCAAGCGACTCAGATTAAGACCGCACATTTGCTGGGCACAACACATCAATTCCTACTCCAACCCTCAATACCCTGACATCAAATTCAGGATTTAGGTAATGCTTAATGTTCTATGTGTGGGACTGTGGCGTATTATCGCAGGAACGTCTACAACTCTCTTTGATTTGGTTATATTTGTATGAAAGAGGCATAGCAAAAAACTATAAATGTGGATTTGGCAGAGACTTTTATTTTGAAGGGTACAGATCAAACTTTCGGTGTTACGTTTTTAAATTCTCTAACTATTTCAAGATGTTTTCACTGGATCAGATACTGTATATTGGAATGTAGAATATCCAAACCTATTAAAACATAAACAAATTTGCTGTAACAAGAAGGTACATTTTTGTTTATCTTAATGTGTTACATGCATTGTACAACCGTTAGCTTCTCCTTTTTAAAAGTATATTTTAGGGCCGCCGTTGACATCAGTTGGCAGAGGTCTAAAGTCATTGTAGCCTTAATTTTTTTTATTTTAATCAGAAGATGTATTTGTTGAGGCATGTTTTATTTAATGCTGTTATGTGGCTTGCATTACTAAAGTGCACTGTTGTGACCATGTTGATAGTGCGGGGAATTATGCCACACTGTACACTTTTTAATAGGCACATGGAGCATTTATGAAGCCTGTGAATGCTTCCTCTTTAGTTGCATGGAGGTTATGCCGATGCCATTTCTGACGCCTTGCAATACATTTCTTGAAGAAAGTCCCAGAAGTACCACAGATGCAAAATACAACACAATCCAAAATTATAAACCCACTACATATTCAAAATTTGATATTTTGAATATGTAGTGTACATTACAAACATTTCAATATTATGTAAATATACAAACCATCTTTAAATACAGGGAAAATGAAAGTATCAGCTGTGTTTTATCTGCATACAATAGAGCAGATATAAGAACATGCAGACACGTGCAGTCAAAAATCACATATTCTTTCTTTGGGGTCATTCAAGTTTGTAATGAACAAGCAGAGCTTTAACTATAATCAATTATTAATGGTAAGTGAAAATTAATCATGAGATTTTTTGCTGAGAAAAGAAAACCACTAGACCTCAACATATTACATGTCCATTTAATGAAAATGGAATGCTATGTTTAAACACACGTGTGCAGCATACATAATAGGCGGGAAAAGAATAGTATGTTTGACTTACAGCACTCCTTGAATACAAAAATAAGAGCTTACCACAAGGACAAACCAAAGGATCCAAAGGGAACCCGCTACCTTCATATCGTCCTCTCACAGGCGAGTCCCTAGAGAGAAAGAAAAGAACAGCAAGTTACAACTAACAGAAAACAAGTTGTCTACCGTGAAAGTGACTGACTGAACAAACAGATGGCTGTTTCAAATCGGGATTATGGTCTCTCTGGAGAAAACAGAATCAGCAATCATTAATCTAAAAAATGCAAAACACTGCAGCAGAGGCACCGCAGTTAACGGCATTTTGCATTTTTCCATTATGTGAGTGTTTGTGTTTGAGAGACGGGGAGAAAGGGTACCCGTTGTTAGGGCTGTGCGATTATGGCAAAAATCCTAATCACGATTATTTTGGTCAATAATTGATATCACAATTATTAAAAACGATTATCCATTTACTTTGAAAACATCCATTTATTGAAACAAAAATGTGAACAGTATGTTTTTAACAGTTGATTACCCTGAACATTAAGTATAATTCAACTGAAAAACCAAAAAAAAAAAAAAAAAAAAAAATAATAATAATTAATTTTTTTTTTTTTTTAATAAAAATAATAATCGTTTTATTTCGATTACGTTGTTTTCGTAATCGTTGCAAGCCAAAATCGTAATCGAGATTAAAATACGATTAATTGCACAGCCCTACCCGTTGTTATGTAAAGCATCATAAAAGAGTAATATTATATTGTGTGAGCAAAAGAGGAAGAAGAAAGACAGAGAGACCAAAATAGTTGATAGTCATTAATCATCTCGAGCTGAGACTCCACTTTTGCTGGACGGCAGCAGCAGATCTGCCAGTTTAGAAACTGAGTGCATGTGAGATTAAAATTCACATCGGTTCTCTTTGCGTTGGCTCAGAGAGTCTCCGTTGGAAGCCCATCACTCCACAGTTTGAACAGTTAGGACGACCTAGAGGTTGTTTTCCACACCCCACAGAGGAACCATGGGGCATGCTTTTTAGCAGATAGACATCCTATAAGTCACCGTGAAAGGTTGATGGATAGTAGGCCTGTTAGTGTTGGCTTTAAGACAAACACTGATGGTAGGCTACTTAGAATTGGGATGACAAATAAAACTGAAACTGCATCTGCCAAGAATTTAGGCTAGGAGTGCTGACTGCTAACCAGAGAACCCTTGAATTTCCTACACATTTCTTATTCGTTATTGATAGTAAAAAGTATGATTACTATTATTATCATTTATGCTAGACCCAGATATCATCTGTAGAAAACCACTTCTAATTCTCTGTCCTACATCCTAATATATACCTACCCACTATCTCATTTGCATACATTCAAGTGAAGTCTAGATTGAAGTGTTAATCTATAGGTTATGGACAGGAAATTAACTGGCTGCATTTTTTGTCATTTTTCACAGGAATATCAAACAATACCTGGTTCAAGCTCATAAGCTATGAGGATGTGTGGCTTTTCTTTGTTTCCCCGTAAATGTAACATATGACTTGAAGAAAAAAACGAAACAATCTGAAAACATCACCTTGGATAACCGTCATTTCCTGACAGCTGTGCTGAATTGTTTGAGCTCTAGAATTCACCAACATCTTTTTATTGTCAATGTATGTGCATTTCCCCCTCAATCTCATTCCAGACTGAATCGAAGTCCCCATCTTTTCAGCCCAAAAAGTATTTCCTGTTTAACAAAAGACTATAGTGTATGTGGATCCGACATGCTGGAAAGCTCAGTCAAGGACACAGCCACATCTCTTATTTGAAAAGAGGTAGAGAAGAAACACAAAGAAAAACACATAAAAACACCATTCAGAGACGAGGCGATAACAGAAGGAAGAAGATCATCTCCTCCTTGAGTCCAATATTGACTATTTGGGAATATCTGAATCTTGGCTAAAACGTCACCATCTTCTATTGTATCTATGTCAGGATATAATGTGTTTAGGAAGGACAGACTGAAGGGAAAAGGAGGTGTTGCTTTATGTGAAGAAATACCTTTACTTGTAGGGAGATTGCTCTTCCAGCTAATGTTGAGTTTGATTGTGTTGGTGTGGAAATCACACTATCTGAGGAAATGTCCCTCACCATGATTTGCCTGTATCGACCACCCACCGCTAAGGTGGATTTCTATGACCAGGTACAACTCATGCTGAATTCCTGTGACTCCAACAAAGAGCTAATTATTTTTAGGAGACTTTAACATAAACTGGAATGACAAACAAAATAGAAAGAACTTAAAACGGATCACGGATAAACACAACTTAATACAACTAATGGATCAACCGACTAGAATAACCAAAACCTCCAAGACTATGATAGATTTAGTATTTACTAACAAAGCTGACAGAATAGTTAAAACATACAACTTCCTGACTGGTCTTTCTGACCATAATCTTGTTCTTTTTGCCAGGAAACTCACACAAAAAAGGTTCATGGCCACACGTAAAACCCCTGCCCTGGGTTCACGCTTCATCCCCAAAAACCTGCAACAACATTTTATGGATGCAGTGAAAATGATTAATTGGGGGGACGCTCTGTCCTCTGAAGATATTGGTGAAAACAGTGATCTGTTTATATCTCAAATGAATGATACAATGTCTTCCTTATATAAATGTTTACATGGACTGCCCCCCCTCCCTTAGGGGAATTCATCCACAAAAAACACACTGGACGCTGCACTAGGTCAGAAACCAGAGGAGACTGTGAAGTCCACCGTAGACGGACCACTTTTGGACCAAATGTACTCTCCATTAAAGGCAGCTCTTTCTGGAATAGCCTCCCAACTGAGATACGGGATTGTCCCACTCTCAATAGTTTTAAAGGTCAACTCAAAGAATGGTTGAGAAACAACCAGACGTGCAATCACCGCTAAATGCACTTTAACACAGGGGTATCTCCTCTTGCACTTTATGCATCTCTTGTATCATCTCTTGCACTTAATATGTCGTTGCTGCTATAGTGTACTGCCATGTGGTAAATACTTGTGTGTGCTGCTCTTGCTCTTTTGCATATCATGTATTTATTTTTTGCTATGTTTACAAATGTCATGTTCTTATACGTTGTATGTCAGGGACTACGGATGGAAATGAGCTCAAAGCTCAAATCCGGCATATTTACACTTGAAGCATTATTTGTCTAAATTGTTCATTAATGTGCATTGTCCCTATTCAAATAAACGATTAAATGAAATGAAATGAAAGATGGAAAAATGGATCCCAAAATGCCCTCGAGGAAGAGAAGATCTATACAAACTATCATCATGCCAGAGCTTTGAAATCACACGAGTCAATTATGACCTCTGGGTGTGCATGAGCGAGTAGATTTGTCTCAAAGTGGGATATTCTGAAAGAGACATGTTTCTAGTAGAGACACATCCAGACATTCGGCACAAATTACATCAATTTGAGCTTTTAATTGAACGTTTTCCTAGATATCACTAGGGGGATAATAAGGGTGCTTAGTGTTAGATGAGAAGGTTGTCCGATGTCTATACACTAAATAGATCAAGTCAGCAGATGGCTTGCATAGTTTTATCATATCCTGATATTCTCCTTTGTTCTTCATTCATTAGTTCATTCAAGGATTTCTTGCTTTATTTTGTTATTCTGGCTCACATTACTTCCTGCATTTGTGTGCTTTTCCGCCATTTTGTTATTTTCTGCACCGCTGTGATTAGTTTTCGATGATTAACCGCCTCATAAGTCCATCACATGTATGAGCCCAGTCCTTTTGTTCATTTAGATCCGTTTGCCATGACCTTGTCTTTTTGTCCTGCCTGTCTCCTCAAATCCATGCCTGCCATTTCAATGAAACCATTAAATGTTCTCGCTGCCTCAGCATCTGTATCTGCGTCTGCTACCTGCACACCAAACTCTAACAAGGTTAGCATGACGACTGGACACATGGGGGAAACAGCTATGCAGGTTTTGTCTAAAAAAAGCCTATCAACACATCTGCTGGTGATGACAGGAATCATGCACATTTCAGAAAACCTTCATAGGAACACATTTGAAAAGTGCAATCACTGGCACGTCATTAATATGTGAAGTTAAACAGGTGACATTAAAACATCTACGGTATGGGAATTGTGTCTCTTTGGTTGAATTGGGGAAGGAATTGGGATTTCTATTTTATAGCCACCATTAATCCCTGGAACATTTCAACATTATAACACACTCTCAGTCCATCAATAATACATTTGGCAACAGAACGTTCCTCATTTGAATATCACTGCACATGAGACAGTTTACCCCAACCTACGAGCTATATTTGACTTTCAGCAAGGAGATGTAAGTCTTTCTGCCTAACACATTAGTTCTTCATACCTCTCCAGACAAAGTCCCGACGGCATTTTTGTGGGCCATTAGGTCCAGTGCGATACGATCAGTAAGGCTTGAAGCATGTGTAGCTTATTAAAGAGACAAGACCCCATATGGAGAAGACAAGGGAAAGCACTTAACAGAACGAGTGCATAGTATATGTGAATGAAGCACTCTCCAGGAATGCTGCTCAGCATCAAGTTTCTTGAGGATCAAGTAAAAAGTAAATCTGTTGTAATGGGGGATTTAAAAAGAGACTGCTTTTGCAACATTAATTACTGCTTGGATACTAAACCACTTGGGAAACAAAGACATGTTAATAAGTGTGTCATTTTTTACTATAAATAAGCACTGACTGTGAAAGAATGGTTTCTGTTTTAGATGTGCTTGTGAAAGTGTGCCCTTGAACCGACATTCTTTCAGTTTGAAAAGCTTTTTTTTCCTGGAGTACTTTGTAAAGGTACACAATGGATTTGTGATAGTCATTCAAAATTATTGAAATGATTTCTTTGTACAATCCACCTTTCACCTGCCTCCATATTCTCTATTCTATTTGGTTGTCAAATGCAATACCTATAATTTCAACACAAACTAAATTTGAACTTTAAGTAATGCAAAAAACTTTGAAATATGTTTTTGCGGAGGACTCCATTCGAATAGACATATCGCCTTGGGCTTCTTTTGTTGTTCCCAGAATGTCAATAAAATTGAATAACATTGTCCTGATTTTATCATTGTTATTATTCATGTGTTTTGCCCTTGGTCTGA